TACATAGTTTGGCTCTATACATCCTAAGTTAATTGTCTTGGATGATTTCGCCATAGGTATTAGATAAGGGACAGAAATAAGTTCTGTAAGGACCAATAACAAAGTGGATTTTGGTTACAGTCTGATGGAATAGTCCACTTGTTGCTTGAAGATCCCACTTGTACCAATCGAGTTAAAAAACTACTTTTGAAAGTATATCTTCTAAACTTCTTGAACTATCGGAAAGAAACAACAGTGAAAGTGTGCATATAATTCCGTGTTTCCGACTCCAAACATCGACTTCTCTTCGCTTATCAAATTGCTCCAAGGACATGATCCGACTCCACAAGAAAATAACAGTAATCCAGAATCCAAAAAAAAAAGTTCACCGCACAAACTCCTTGTAAGTATGCTATTTCTGATCTAGTCTAACAGTGTTTCACTTAAGGTTCAATAAGGTATAAAGAGAGAAAGCCCCCGCCCACACACCAGTGACACAGCGGAACGTCTGCGGTCTTACAACGCTAGAAACTGGGTTTTGATACCTGTTGTGGCCAGAGCACAGTTAGCCCATTGTGTAGCTTTGTGTTTAACTTGAAACAAACAAATATAGAGAGAAAAGTAAAGAATACTAACTGTACTAAAGAAATAATCGATTTAATAACGCTTATAGTGGAACTACTGAAAGATATCTTAGGAGAATTGTTAATACAGTTACACAGATTATGATCGAGAGAATTTATCGTGTTAACTTAATTGATAACTTAGTTAATGTTGTATGTATGTTACTGAACATAATAGAAGGTCTTAGAGTTCATGTATTCTTCTCCCTTCAGATTCCTAGAGTAACCAGTTCTAAAGAGGCTCTTCAGTGATGTACAATCTTCAAACTGAAAATACTTACCCCAAACTGGATGAAACTTTGTACAGACATTTTAAATAGTGTCTCTTTTCCACATAAAAACTTATAAAATTGGATTCAGTATTTGTACAGGTTTAGGCTGCGAGATAGGCCGAGAATGGCCCTGCGGATAGCATTCCAGTTTATACAGTTGAGGCTTTCTTATTCGCACCCTGTTACCACAAAAAAAAAGAAAATTGCACATCACGCTTTGGGGCCTTAATGAATTATGAGGGTGACAGTCAAATCCCAATATTCGTATAGACAAAAGTAGGCCAAGAATTGATGGTGGGAGCTATTGACTAGCTACCTTCTCTCTAATTTATCAGCTCAAAAATGTAGATGGCTAGTCCTGGAGTAGCTTTGGACAAATATCTGAAAACAAACAAACAGGTTACAAGATGTCCAAAATGTGTTGTAAAAGTCTGTTTAAAAAAAAAGAGTTTTTTGTCTTAGTCTTTAAATTTTTATGCCCTTGATCATAGAGTTCCATTTTATATGTCTAATCAGTTTGATATGTGATATTTTCAGGTAGAAACTGATTCCTCAACAAGTATTAAATAGTTAGGCCAGCTAATAACAGTAGATTCGCTCAGGAAATAAGTAGAGTAGTCTGAATCTGGTAACTTGACTGAATTTTCCTAAGGTGTTTGAAATGATGAGGCTAGATAAGATTGACAAAATGAACACAATATTTACTATAGAACAAGCAAAAAGAAAATGTAGCGTACATACTTGCACACACAAAAATACAGAGTAATTAGCTCCACATTTTTCTTTCTCTCATGAATAACTTCTTTCAGACTAAAAACTATGATCTTAAAGTAGTTCTTTACTCGAAGAATTCCAGGTATAAACTAAACTGAAAAAGTGTACCTGAATTCAACGGATAAATTCAGTTTCTTTGTCCAATCAACAGCATCACCTCGTGACCTTTGTTTTCTCACAACATTGGTCGACTATAATATTCAGACAACATCAACTCAGCCAGCAAAATATATTACAGTTACTAATCATTTTAACCTGGATACCTTATGGTACTGCAATATCTTCTCAGACAGAATAGACATTATATACTGTTAGGACAGCAGAAGTCACCCGACGCTGGAAGCATGTGCGCTGGAGTTTCTAGAAAGATCATGACTGTTCCTGGCAACTCCAGTCTTTTCCAGGCACCCTCTATTTTAGTATATAAGCCCGGCAAATAAAGCGGAGATATAATTGCATAAAGACAGATATAGAGACAGATAATTGAGTCAAGCGAGTGGTAGTGACCATAAGTAAAGTGCGTGAATCGTTGTGAATTATAGCGTGTGTTTAAGTTAAAGTGACTGTGGAAATTCTGTGTATTGCAAAGTTGTATTGAGAAAGAATAAACTAGTTTTATTTAAGAAAGTACTTGTATCGCTGAAGTTCCTCGGGAAGAATTTATACAGGAAATTAACAAACGACCAGAGATGTAACAAATTGGTGTCAGAGAGTGGGACTGAAAAAAAGAAAAAGAAGATGGAAACGAGAAGTGGCAAAACAAACTACAGCTTAGCAGATTTGATAGCAGCAATACAAGAACAGCAAAAGAAA